GCTGCCCCATCCCTGGCAGTGTTCAAGGCCAGGCTGGACACAGGGGCTCGGAGCAACCTGCTCTAGTGGAAGGTGTCCCTGCCCGGGGCAGGGATTGGAGCTGGAGGAGCTTGAAGCTCTCTTCCAACACAAACCATTCTAGGATCACTCTATGGTTTCCTCTGGGAAGCCCGGCCAGCGCAGCCCCATGTGCCAATGCTGGGGACAGGAGGGAGGAGAAAAGGTCCCGGCTCCTTCCCCAGGGCAAGTGCTGGCCTCAGCCTCTGCTCTCAGGTGCTCCAGTGCAGCTGGACCCCACATCCCTGCTGTGTCCTGTGTTCTGCACTGTCCTGAAGGACAGCAGAAGGAAAGACTCAGTTTCAGCTGGTAACCTCTCCCTCTCAGGGGACTGATGCCAATGTGAGATGGTTTCCTGGTGCTCTCACATGAACTTGCTGCTCTAACACACACAAACTAAGACTGTTTCCTTAGCCAAGGTGACATTAATAGATGGTCATGTGCACATACAGTAACTGTGTCATCTGCTTTACCTTACCTTTTCCTCTAACTCTTTTATTTGTCTTTTTTGGCCTTCAATTCTTTCTTCTAGCTCTTTAATTCTCTGTCAGATGTCAAATAAAGAAATATTTATTAACCAACCAAATACAGATGTACCCGGAAGATGCATTAGTTTGGGAGATACAAATTGTATGTGCTGTGCTTCTAAAAAAACAAGTTAGGTTTTAAGTTGTAGATGAGTTCTCTGTGATTGTCACCACATGTGACACATTCAGGAAAACTAAAGTGCCCTGTTTGCAGGGATCGTATTCAAGGCAAAGCACAACCTGACCCAGAAGCAGCCATTTCTGGTACAGCTCTATGAGGAGAGGCTGGTGCTCACCAGCTCATGATGCACCTGAGGCACCATCCCACCCTGAGTCTAACCGCAGCCGGGCCCCGTTGCCTACCTGCTGTGCGTGCTGAATGAGCTCCATCCTTTCCCGCAGGATCTGGGCATCCCTCTCCCGGAGCTCGCTCATCACCTGCCGCTTCCATTGCTCCACGGCGCTCTTCAGCTTCTCCTTCTCCTCTTCTGAAAGAAGTTCGGAGATTTTGGCTCCAGCTTCTTGCTGCAGGGCATCATAGAGCATGGCTTCTAATTCCAGAATTTGCTGATCAAAAACAATATAAGGCTGTCAGCTTCACCACGGCTGGTTTTGTGAGGAACTGAAAATCCTACCCCAGTGAGGGAATGGGAATGGTGGAGGGGTTGTGAGCTGAGCTTCTCGCACAGACAGTGTGGAAAACTCAATCTGGGGGTGGGGAAATACTTCAGGATGCTTTGATCCTGTGGGGCTCTGAGCAGCACTGGACCTGGGGTGGTCCCTGGGCCCCGCCAAATCTGCCTCTCCAAAAATATATGGGTGTCAATGTCTCCTTTCTGGAGATGGGGAGATGGTCACGGGGAGGAAAGGCAAGAAGAAAAATAAAACAAGAAGGGAAAAGGAAAAAGGGAAAAGGGAAAAGGGAACACTTCGCTGGCAGTGTTCAAGGACAGGTTGGACACAGGGGCTTGGAGCAACCTGCTCTAGTGGAAGGTGTCCCTGCCCATGGCAGGGGGTTGGCACTGGGTGAGCTTAAGGTCCCTTCCAACTCAAACCATTCTATGATTCCATGCAAAGGGAAAAGGGACAGTGGTTAATAAAGACTCGTTTTTTGAGTTACAGCTATTTAAATGCAGTATTGAGTCTCTCAGTTCACCTTTCCCAGCTATTCTGAATGCAGCAGCAGAGGGGGCAGCAGCACCAGCTCCTGCCAGAAAGGAACAACTCCCTGCTGTGTGCTTGCAGCATTTTGTACCAATGAGCTTAAAATGCCTGGTGTGAGCGTGTCTCCAGCCCTCTCTGGCAGAGCTGTCAGCTCCGAGAGGCTTTATGCTCATGAAAAATGTATCTGGTAGCTGGGCTCTGTTCCTGCAGTCTCAGGCTGCAGAGATTTTACTTTACTGCATCAGAAAATGACTCCTGCTCAGACAGATGTGCCCTCCAGATGTACCAAGATACACAAGTGTGTAGGAAGAGGACTGGGAATGTTTCCCCACGTCATCAAGCCCAGCACCCTCCTAGGGCAGGTGACTCAGACAATGTTTGCTGCCTCAAAGTCCAAGATATCCCTTCATGCAAGCCAAAAGCAAACAGAAATCTTTTTGACTGATAGAGCAAGTCTGATATAGAGCAAGAGACAAAGCAGCCCCTGATGGCACCTCTGCACACCCTCCACAAAGCTGCTGGTGTCTTGCAGAGCGCTCCATGGCCTCAGGAGAACAGGACTGTGGTGGTGCAGGTTGAACCTTGCAGAACTCTCCATGGCCTCAGGAGGCTGCTGCACTGGGTGGGTTGAACCTCCAGAGGCTGTTTGACATTGCTGTTGACATCTGCTGTAATAATACAGCTCAGTTAAAAACCATCAAGTTTCCCCACCTGAGGCTGCTTGTGGTGGTTTCTTACTAGGTCTTAGCAGAGTCAGACAGAAGAAAAGGAGCATGTACAATAACAGTATCACGGCAGGAGTTCTGGATTCTGATGCTAACTGAGGGACAGCAATCACGGTATCTCTGTGAGATTAGATCAGATCTCAGAAGAAGACTCTGCTTTCACTTTTAAAACAATAGCAACATCCTTGCTAACCATCACTGCTTTGATGAAATGCTGCTGTTTGAAACATGGGTTTCTGTTGGGCCCCAAACCTCAGTTACACAACTGCTGTGCTCTGAGATTACACTGACATGTGAAGAAGAAAGAGTGTGGGGGAATTCATGGTCTCCAGAGCAGCATCATCATCATCAGGAGTCTCTTTGTGAGCCAAGTGCTTCTCAGAGCAAAATCCCCCCTTCCAGCAGCCCAAGGGAGCGAAAACCGTGCAGGAAGCTTAGTGGTTATAGCTGGTAATCCTGTTGGCTGCAGTTAGTGAGGAAGATTAGCAGCTCCTCATCCCAAGGGGCACAAAGAAAACATGAAAGTGAAACATATTATACAAATCAAAAGAGCTTTTGCCACTCTAAATTCAGGGCAGAACAAAGCTTCTTTGCTGCTTTCAGCCTGCATTTGTGCCCAGGAGTAAAGCCCATTGCTTTGCCCGCAGACACTCGTGTGATGCCTTTCAAGAACATGACCAAATATGACCCAATATGACCTAACATGACTCCCCATGACCCAGCTTCAGTGTGCACTTGAGCCCAGACCCCCGCTGTGTGCTGGGTTGCACCCCAGAGCATGAGCAGCAGGTCCCCCCTCTGCAGTCCTGATCCAGCTCTGGGGCAACAACACAAGAGGGACATGGAGCTGTTGAGGCGAGTCCAGAGGAGGCCCCGGAGCTGCTGTGCATAGACACTGGTTCCAGATATAGCTCAGCATGTGGCAAAATCAGTCTTAAAAATCATCCTTAGAGACAGAAAATGGATTGAGGAAAAGCTCCCCCAAATGGTTTGTGATGAAAATAGAGAACAGGTATCCAGAGAGAGAGGTGTAAATACTCATTGCTACTCAGAAAGTGCAACTGGGCTCAAGATTTAAATGGAACTGAAAGAATGAGATACACTGATATGCAAATGTATGTCTTTCGTGAGTATATACTGAACTTTTCTCTAATTGAAGGAAATGAGACAGCAGATGACTGAGGAGATGGTTGTTCCTGCCCATTGCAGGTGGTTGGAACTAGAAGATCTCTTAAGGTCCCTACCTAACCAAACCATACCAGGATTCTTTGATTCTATGATATGGTTGAAATGGCTTAGGATCAGCTAATGATGAACCTGACCTAAAAGCAGTTTCATTTCAGGTTTGTAGAATCACACAATACCTCCTGCTCTTCTGGTTACACAGGCTGTAACCTAAGATCTAAGGAAATGTCTAGCCTAAAAGCTCTAGTTTGGAGGGAGAAGAGAACTTACTGAGAATATCATTTGCTTGCCAGTCATTTCCTGAAACCTCTGCTACATTAAAACTTGTGTTTAATGAGTTAATGTTCAGGTCCTAATCCTGTAAGGTCCACCAAGCATAAGGAACTCTGTCCATAAGGAACTCATTGTTAGTGCAGGGCATGGGGGGTTTGTTTAGTTCTATTTAGTCCTCAGGTTACTCCATGTTCTGTCCTGTCCAAAGCAGAGCTTTTCTATAGGGAGCAGACCACACATATTACACATGGGAAGCTAATCAAGATGTCATCATTCAGCTGTTTTTCCTCACCTTGTGAGCTTGGTCCAAGGACTGTTTCCTGAAATCAAGCTCATCATCCAGGTAACCCTTCTGCTTGCTGAACAGCTCCTGGGGACAGGGGAAGAGGCAGTCAGTGCAATGGCATCTACCGTGATGCTCTTCTGCTACTTGTCCCACGGTTCCTTCCCTCGGTACCTTTTCATTCTCAAGGTCCAGCATCTTCTGCTGCAGCGCAGACTCCGTGACTTCGATCTGCTGTAGCCACTGCACAAAACAGCGAGCAGGGGATTAAGCCCAAAGAGCAGCAGCGGCACACCTCATATTCAGTGATCACTATGACCTTAGGAGCTGTCAGCACACACTGCAACTACTTACTTAAATTCACTAAATAAAAGAGGAAAACTTGCTCTATTATTACTTTTTTTCTGTTATATATATTGGCAGAAAAACGCAGGATTTCAAAGTCATTTACCTTCTAATGTCATTGTGCTAATTAAGTAACATTTAAATCTAAGCAATGTCTGTCTGTATTGCCTGAATGTCACCCCTATTCTGGCAAAAACCAGTGTAATTCCATATAAAGAACCACTGCATTTGGTGATGAAGCCATCACCCACCTCACCCTGGCCCCCAGGTGAGCTGCTATGAGGCTGCCAGTAAGGTATTTACCAGTGAGTTTGGGTTTGATGTGCTGTTCTTACCTTTTCAGCCAGCGTGAGGACAGTCCTTGCTTGTATGACAACTACTTGCTCTTCATTGGTCAGATTCTGCACCAAAAGCAGAATAGAATTACAACAAATCCCAATGTCTTGTTACTAATCCACTACTTGGGCACTGCTGCATTAAATAAATACGAAATTAAGGATGTTCAAGGAACAAGAAACTAAGAAAATTAGTGTTGTAATGTAACAGCACTGCAAAAACAAGTGTAACTTTTCATGCTGGATTCTATCATACATAGAGTTAATTCTTCTAAAATTTTCACATTTACCAAAAAACCAGGTGACACTGGGCCTGTTTTTACCCAACAGGGAATAAACACAGATACACAAGACAAGATCAAGCTTAGCACAGTGTGCCTTTCAGAAGAGATGCAGCTGTCAGTCTGTGAGTTCATTCCATGCACAGCAGGTTAACACACAATCCTTATTTTGTGGGGCAAAGCCATGATTTTGGAAAGCATGTGTGAAGATGTCAGCTTTTCGATTCATGTTTTGCTGCTGTTTTAAAACATTAAAGTACTGAAACCGTGTTTTGCATTTGATTCCAAACTTTGGTCTTACTCTGACCACAGATACACCAGGAGGAGGGAAACCCTCTGGTCTGGGGCCACATTTGTTCCGATCCAGAGAGCCACGAGCTGTTATTCCCATGATTAGGAAGCTGTTGGCTTTCTGCAGAGCTGGTGCCAGTGGTGTGATCTCCCCACGGTGGCCAAGGGCTCTGCTCCCTTCTGCCTGCACAGCCATGGGCTCTGTGGCTCTGCTGACAGATGGGAGTGCAGGGAATAAATACACAAAGGGATCTAGATCTTCTATATACATAACTATTCATGTAATTACTTCCATTTGCTAAAGGAGAAACACTTTCAAATTCCTCATTATTTGCTGCTTCTTCTCATGCTGCTGTTGTAGCTTTTTGTTTAATATCCTGGTTGCTACCAAAGGTTTATGGGGTTTAGACAAAACCAGAACACAGAGTTGCTAGAATGCCAAAGCAAAGCAAAGCAAAGCAAAGGCAGAGTAAGCAACAAAGGAGCCTGTGGGGACAGCGGCCAGAAAAAAAACAAACACCAAAGCTGCAAAATATTTTCCAAACCATTGGAACACTCAGAGCCATGTCGTGACACCAGGATCCCGCATGGCACTGCCAGGAGCCTGTAACCACCCCGAGAAGAGCCAGGGAATGCTGAGCTCACAGCCCCGTGCTTGGGCTGCAGGACAGGCTGTGCAGCAGCACCCCAAGGAGGCTTTGCTAGCTTCACATGAAGACTGACACTGACCAAAGCATGCACAATTTATTAAAGGAACATACACTTACGGCGTTATCCCCTAAAATGTCCAACTTTTTCATCAGCTCTGCTACTACTATGTCCTAACAAGAGAGAAATGGAAAAGCAGGAGTCAGAACAGAGTGCCTGGCTTCACCGAGGGGAAGGAAAGCACGACAGGAGGATCCCTTACTGTTACACCTTCTGCCTCGCAGTACACCTGGAGAGGGCTTTTCCCCTCTGTAAAGGGACCGTGATGGAAGTTGATGGCAGGTGATCGCCGCTCCCTCTCCTGCAATGACAAGAGTTGCTTGGTTATACCCACTGTGGTACCTCACAGCTGACAGATCACAGAGAGCACAAAACATGGTTTGAAAAGGGCAGCTCTAACGAGCTCATCACAAAGCTGTATGGTCACAGGATGGCTTCATTTCGGGTGCAAAGAGCACCCTTCTCTCTGCACCCTGGGGCTACTGGCACTAAGAGCCAGGAGCCAGAGCCACTTCTCCAGCCACAGCATGTGCTTTTGTGATGGCACTTGGGGCTGACGGGGAAGTCCTCACCCCACTGCACAGGGGATCAGCCATGTATTATCAATGTAATACTAACAGTGCTAACATTTTCCCATCATGCTGCTTCACTGGGCACCAACCATGACCACTTCCCTGTTATGTGACTATATTACATATTTGAACAAAACTCGAACAAAAAAAAGAAGTTCTTCCCTGTGAGGGTGCTGAGGCGCTGGCACAGGGTGCCCAGAGAAGCTGTGGCTGCCCCATCCCTGGCAGTGTTCAAGGCCACGTTGGACACAGGGGCTTGGAGCAACCTGCTCTAGTGGAAGGTGTCCCTGTCCGTGGCAGGGGTTGGAGCTGGGTGAGCTCTAAGGGACCTTCCAAAACAAACCAGCCTGTGATTCCATGCTTCTATACCTAATATAATATAGCACTTACATTTCCCTTATTAGTGTCTGCTTTGTTAATCTCTCTTTTCAAGAATTTAAATACAGTTTCCAAGAGCTTATAGGTTCTGTTTGTACAGGTAGTGATCCAGAAAGCAGAAGGCTCAGTGGACTAACTTTAGCAACCTGGGGCACACAAACCCTCCTCTGCATGTTTAACAAGAGGTGAAACAACAGCCATGGGTTTTGGCAATGAACACAAAAAGTTTCTTTTTCTTTTTTCTTTCCCATGTATGATCTGTGCTGGTTTCATCTCTTTGCATTTTCAGGACAGATGGAGTACAGTAAAATATGTGTCTCCACCATGAGCCAGTCTTCTGGAAGTTAAATTATTTAAGTAGTAAGACTGCCAGAACAACCTATCTAGAACACTGGCATTGATCCCTGGGTGTTCGGGGTGGTTTTCCTCTTTCATTAGCACTTTGTGCCAAACCCTTTGCTCTCATTCAGGGCAGCATAGCTCTTTACAGTACATATGGGGAGTGCCCCCAGCCAGAGCTCACACAAACCAGGGCAGGACCAGGGCTGCAACACGTGCTCACTTCAAGCTCCAAGATCCTGAACTCCAGGAGCTCGTTTTGATCCTTCGCATCCTGGACATCATGTTTCAAGCGAGCTTCCTCTGCTTCCATTTGTTTTATCTGCAGAAGAAAGGAGCTGTGGTTAGCACTGCCTGTATGTCACTTGAGATCCATGTGCCTTGACCATGCCAGGGAAACACGGGGTCAGTGAGCAGGGGCATATGGCACCAGTGATGGGGAATGGGGGCTCCTCCCCAGAGCCACCGTCCTCATGTGACAAGGACATTGTATGGGACAACAGGGAAGGCCAGAAAACCTCTTCTCCTGGTAGGTTTATACATATCATCTTATTATACATTAATTATTACCACCAGAGCTGTGTAGTACAGATTAAAATACTACACCTCCTGCATCCCTTAAGATACAAATATTATTTGAATGATACAAATAGAAGCATTGGACACCTTTTCTACCAGTTCCTGGTTTCTTCTATACAGCGCTTGCTTCTCCTCAATCCACTTCATGTCCTTGAGAAAGAAATGACCAGTGTTGTAGGTGAAGCTGGCAATGGTTAGCACAAGCACAGCAGCAGGTACTTCAGTGAATCATGCAGATAGAGAAGAGGGATAGACTAATACTGCACATGAAACTGTAATTCCATTATTTGCTAAAATAACTTCCTAAGCTATATTTTTCCATTATTTTAACAGTCTACATTATAAAAATGGAATAGAAACACTCCAGTGACTAAAAACCTCTTCCAAGTGAAAAAATTGGTTTTCATTAAAAGAAATATTTCTAGCTTCTATTGAATTTCTACTACATTGAAAATAAGTTACATATTTCTGAAAGTCAGGCAAAATAAGCCTTGTTTTGAAACTAATACCCTAGTTTGATGACTATATAAAGCCCTCAACCCCCAAGACATTATGTATCAGGGGTTCAGCCACAGGCATTACCTGTCCCTGCTCTGCAAGGGCCTTCTCCAGGTCCTGGATCTGAGCCTGCGACCGGTGTATTTCTGCTTGGAGCTGCTCACGTGTCTGTGGGATATGAGGGGAAAAGACAAAAAACCATCCATCAAACTTTCTCTAACAGACTAAAGCTAACACAGGTACAGAAAATGCTGAAAATATCACATACTTTTAACAAATGGGCTTTCAAGTTCTTTGGCAGAATCAGTTTGCAGCAAAGCACACAGCAGGAGCCATTAATCACAGAAAGAAGTCTCTAAGACGGGATAATAAATTTGAGACTGAACTCAGGATGAACATAAGCAGAATCCCATCAGGGCAGCAAAATGTGTATGGCCTCTCTCACGTGGCTATGGCAGTCTGCACTCAGCAGCCCTCCCTAACCTAGAACAGGGCTTTTAAGAAAGGCAGTATCACACAAAGGTTGCACACTTTGCTCTGGGCACACTTTTTTCCTATAACTTTTGATAAGTTAAGATGCTCAGAACAGCCCCTACACATGTAACGTTACCAACTGGCCAACTGAGTTGCTCTTCATGCATTTACTGCTCTATCTGATGGTCTTACTGCATTGTGTGCAATTTTTTACTATACTTGTAGCTGCATGCTTATTTTCATTCAGGGGCTTGGAGCAACCTGCTCTAGTGGAAGGTGTCCCTGCTCGTGGCAGGGGTTGGAGCTGGAGGAGCTTTAAGGTCCTTCCTACCCAGATCAGCCTGGGACTCGAAGATTTTATGCCAGGTGTGTGCAGCCACATGGGCTGTGTGAGGCAGATAAGTGGGCAGAATAGCATAGGACACTTTGCAGTTGAATTAAGAAGAAGGATCTCAGCTCTAAGTCATTTTCTGAGGAATCCTGGAATCTCACAGAAGCTAGAAGGAATTTAGCACCAAGCATCACATATTCAGGGCTAGCTGCCCTAGAGTTTTATGGAAGAAGAGCTTAATTTTAAAGTTTTCCCATATAAAATTCTCTCTGAATTTCTCTTAAACTGATCAGAGGTGAAAAGACGAACAGTAGTAACAGTGGTTCTTCCAGTGGACCAGCCCCTCATGGGGAAGCAGGAGATAGAGACCCTGGAGCCCCCTCAGAACCAGTCTGACTGTGTCCTGCCCAACAAACATAAAACAATGGAGCAAGTGCAAGTGGAAACCCCCATACAATGACAATCCTTTATTTTCATGTAATATAAGCCATTTAGACCTTAACTTCTCGTTCTGCATCCAATGTTCCTCCGACCTGTTCTTGCAATAGGGCGTATGCTCGTTGCAGAGCCTGGTACTCCATCGTCAGCTGCCGAAACCGCAGTTCTGTCTCTTCCTTGGCCATGCCCTGGAATTAAAACCAAAGATGCATTGTCCCCGTAGCTTTTTGTCTGCAATGATAGGAAAAAATATTTGCTTTCCCTAAGAAATGCCAAAATGCAATTTGGGAAGCACAGTACTGAGGATCTTGGTTATGTCCCCTCAGATGCCCTTGGACTACTTCTCTTTTGTCCCTTAAACATCTCTTACACATACTTACATCAAGAAAATGCAATATTGGAAATAAAAAAGAGACTTTCCTCTGCCTTGGGAAGGTAAAAACTTGCCATCCAAGTCACACACTCATGACTGAATCACTCTTTATTACTGTAACAGGCAGAGTCATCACAATTAAAGATGAAAATACAACTTTCTTGACACAACAAAAGGTTTCCAAGCTTTCCCAAGCCAAGCCTGACAGCCTCACTCAAGTATTAACACACTAATCTAGAGTTAACGCTTGTAGCAATAGTGGCATCAGCATGAAAAGAGCCCTTCATTCTTCCTCAGTCTCCTTACAGTATCCAGCACAGAATGAGTTCATGTCAGGCTGACCAGAATATTTCACTTGACATGAAATGCAATTACACTGCTGGCTGCATGGAGACCCTTTGTACTGTTGAACAGGGAACATGTCAATACAGGAATGAGAGATCAAGAGGCTCATACATACAAAAATACACTCAGGTTTCCTGCAGTGCAGCACACTCCCCGTAACCAGTCATGCATCTTTTATGAGGGAGATGGGAATTCTTTAGGTTCCCTTATAACAGATCTCCTGACAACGCGTGGAACAGGTGAAATGGCAGATGAAGGTTTGCAGCCAGCAGCTGTAAAAAGGCTGAGTATAAATACCAGATGATAACCATAGAGTCATTATCAGTGGGTTTTTGTCCATGACAAGATTCTTGTTGAGCCCAGAGACAACAGTGTAGTGATCTGACATGCACTCGGGAATGTGTGTGTAGGGAAGTCATGCAAGGTACCAGGAATCCTAACTTTGATGTGTATTACCAGCTACCTTTGCACTCTGCATTCAGAGCCTCCCAAAAAGACACCACCTCGGTAGGAGGGACAGTCCTTCCTCTGGGAACAGTGGCTTTGGGGGGCTCTTACCTCTCCTCCAGAAAACACGAACCTCAGCGCTCAAGGCTGTGCTCTGGGCTGAGCTCAAAATGAGAGACAGGAGGACCTGAACCAAACCACACATGCACAAACCTGCAGTAAACCTCAGCGTGACCAGATCTGCCCAGGGCTGTCCAACTGCTCAGTCGTTTTAGACCTCTAACCTATATATCTATTATATATGTAGTATTTTTAGGATATAATATTTACAGCTTTCTAGCAAGCTGTAAAGCTGTAAAATTACTGGGTACTTGAGGGATATTAACCAAAGGCACAGTATTAAACTGAACATCAATTTTTCATTTTCTGGTCAGAGGGGACAGGTGAATGATGCAACAGCCCAGGAATGTCACGAAAAACTAGCAGAGAGGTTTCAACACAAACACAGCGGGGTTTTGCTGGATACCTCTTCCAAGTCATCCTCAGGCGTGCAAGGGGTTTGATCTGTGCGGTCAGTTTGATACGAGATAGAGGAACCATCAGACTCCAAGGAAGCTTCTTCATCGTAGCCAAAGAATGTCTCCACAACCGGCTTCTGGCAGAGAGAAGGTGTCACTGACCGTAGCGGAGCCATCGCCTGTGCCAGCCCAGTGGCATCGGGGGCCCAGCAGTGGCTTTGGACACATGGCTAAACCCTGCACCTCTGTGGGGTCTGAACACACACCCCTCGGGAGGAACCTCAACTCCCTGCCTTCATTTCGTCTATTTTCCTCCAGCTTTCTCTGGCTCAGGCAGAGCCCTCTGCTCACTTTGGGTGTGCACCTCCACGTCAGGAGGGAGCTGTGCATTGAAATGGCTTTGCTAGATTATTGTCACCACCACAATGTCCCTCCTGCCATTACCATATCTGTCACATGGCAAGTTAGATTCGCCAAAACTATTCTCCTTGGAAATGTGAAGCTGATCACCACTGCAGTGATTCTGCAGTTTGAAGAGAGCCAGTTTCCCACTCCAAGCTGCCTTCTGTTTAAAGCAACGAGGGTAGTGGTGGTAAAGCCAAAGACAATGTTTCAAGCACAGTTCCAAAGATATTTTTCAGTGCTGATTTACAAAGCGTCTCTAGATTTTTGGCTTCTTGTTTTAATTTGCAGTGGATAACTCTTGAAGGAGACAAAATGTAGCTCTTTCAAAGGCCTGCTTGCTGTTTGTAGGCTGGCAGGAGTGAAGGAGCTATCTCACGTTGAGCACAATTTGTTATTTACAGATTCATCAGCTGATTCTTCATGCATAGAACACAGCTTGCTCTCTGGTCGCTGACATTAGACCTTACGATGCTGTTTCAGTGTTAATATTTATATTAACATGCTGCCAAGTGGTCATTAACCGACATTTTCTGTTTCCCTGAGCTCTGCCCAATGCTTCTTGTAACCAGCAATTTCTGCATGTTACTAACCTCTCTCATGAATTATTTACAGCCTACATGTGTTTCCAGGCAGTGCCATTAAAGCATCATTTGGAAATGTGTTAATTCATGAAATCTGTCTCATCTTAAGACACTCACACACCACCAAGGTCCTGCGGGACTGCTCTGGTTAACGCAGCACATGCAAATGCTCCCAGTGTGCAATGCAAACGGTGTCCCTACCCCCAGCAGCTCTTTTCTGAACATCCCAACCAGCCTATAAATGCTCTTGAACTACATGACCGAATTCAAGACCATGACCTGCCTGCAGACCCTTGAGGACAATGTCCCCCCATGTGGCTCTGAGGTGCGCGGAGCATCCCAGGAAGCCAGCATGCCCATGCCCATCAGCATACCACAATAAAAGCTTTGTTCCTTACCTTAGGAATTCTTGTCATTTTTTTCCGTTGCTTCCTATACCTCAACAGTTTATCGCGTTCCTGAAAGAATCAGATACATACATTATCTTGTTTAACTATGTCAGTACTGGCAGTCAAGAAATAGTACCATCAGTGCTGGCCACTGCCTCAAAATAGAACCATAGACTCACGGACCGGTTTAAAACTTCTAAAAGGAAACCCTTATACTCTTTCCTTTTATCCATTTGGTAAAAGGATGTGATGACACTGTGGGACACTGCCAATGTGCCACCATCATCGGCCCAATGGCAAATCCTGACATCAGCAAAAGCAACAGAAGAAAATCAAATACTCTTTTCCTTGCAGCACAAGCTTTGCTGCTAGGGCCTTTGGCAACATCTACGCTGAGAAAAGCACTGTTTTAGCTTGCTGCCTGAAGAGGGGTGTAAACGCTAATAAATACTATCACACCCTGCAGGCTTTCATGGACAGGAATTTAAAGCATGCAAAGGTGAGGATGAAGTTAAAGTCATTCTTACCATGACACTCTTCACGTAGCCAGCAGTTTCCAGTGTCTAATGAAAAAGGATGAAATTAGTAAGCGTACAGACTTCAAATAAACAGATAAATAGGTATTTTCTTGAGAAGCATTATGATTTCAGAATGTTCTGTTTGCAAAGACTGAGAACATGTGAAAGAAGCAAAATCCCAAGCACGGCCTTGCAGAACACCCCCTTGTACACAGCAGTCTTCAGCCCTGATGCTATCTCCAGCTAAAGGAGCTCTGACATTCCCTCTATATCCATATCTCCTGGATGTGCTGCAGTGGTTCTGTCATGCAAAGGCAATGCAGATTGAAAGGATTTTCCTAATACCAAACCACAGGTAACTTATATTCATCATGGAGATGTCTACCATGGCCACTGACCAAGCTGTGCTGTTAGCCCATGGAGCCCCATGCACCCCTTGCTTAGGCTTCCTGTTCTGCTGCAGCCCTAGCTGAGCTCGCAGGGGAGCAGCAGTGTTACCTCTTACCTTGGAGAGCTCATCAATGATATTTTGCTGTTCAATAACTTGTAGTCTCAGGAAATCAACTTCCCTTTCTTCCTGGTCAAGGTCATTCAAAGAGCTTGGTCTCCTTATTGTTCCAGCTCTTTGCCTCTAAAGAGGAAAACCACATGGCAGAAGAGAAATGCTCAGGAGGCTTTGCCAAAGGCCAGTGCACAACCCTTCCCTTGACAGCTAGTGATGCATCCAACCTAATGGCTGTTCTGGCAGCTGTCCTGCTGCCCTTTTGCTGAGCAAGCAGCAGGACATGGGCCATCAAACCGCCTGCCAAAGAGGAGGGTAGCAGCAGCCCAGCTGCATGTGTGCTTCTGTGCTGCTGGGCACTGTGAATCCCACGGGAGGAGGAATTCAGAGCTGGGACCACTGTTGCCTCTTTGTGGGTTGCTCTTGTGCATTGACCTGCAGCAGTCCTGGAGCTGCAGCACGCACAAGGTGACCTCAGCACACCTGCATTCCGGCTGGTACGTTATGAGTACTGGCTACCTGCTATGGCCCACTAGCAATATCCAACTGGGAAACCAGGGAGCAGTCACAAGGGCACATTTCCTAGGGATGATGAGGAGGTTTGGCACAGAAGTCAAAGGTCAGGTGGGGTGACCTGTGCTCAGGTGGGAGCTGAGCAGTGGTGACTGAGCAGAGTGCGCAAAGCTCACACAGTTTCTTTACTTCAGAACTATTTGTTTTTAAAGCTAAAATAAATCATTTTATGAAAACAAAATGTTCAAGCCAAAACCCACTCTGCAGCGCACCACAGAGCATCACAGCCACACCGGGAAGGGGGAGGTTCCCTCTTGGACTTGCAGGCTTGGAATGTTGCCTGACTTCTCCAGCCCTGTGAGTACCAAACAAAGTGTTCCTCCCGGGCGTCACACTTACCATTGCGATGTTTTCTTGTGTCACAAATTTTAGCTTGTTTTCCATTCGACGTAAGGCATGTGACAGTTCATCGTTCTTCCTGCTAAGACGCTTGTTTTTGTCCAGAATGGGCTTATACTGACTTTCAGCTTCTCGCAGACGCTTCAACTGGAAGATAAAGAGAATTTACTTCCACCTCTGGAGCTGCTGTTTTTCACCAGATATATTCCTCATTTTCCATTTTCTCTATCACACTAGCAGTGTTTCCTCCTAACACAAAGCAGAATTGATCAAAACCTCTTGGTATTTTCCACTGGGAAGCAGGTTCTTCCTCCTTCAAGAGATGTTCAATCTCTGCAACAATTGTGCCATGTGGGAAAAGTATTTCTTTTTGAAAATAGATAAAAATAACTCCAGCTGATGCCATCTTACAAATTCATTGTTATACAAGCAAGGATGAGGTGTCCCTGCCCAGGGTGGAGGGTTGGAACCAGATGAAGGTCCCTTCCAACCCCAAACTATTCTGTGATTCTATGAGTGTGGTGTGGCATACCACCAAATAACAGAATCCTACAATCATAGAATCATGGAATGGTTTGGGTTGGAAAGGACCTCAAGATCATCTAGTTCCAACCCCCTGCCATGGGCAGGGACACCTCACACTAGACCATGTTGCCCAAGGCTCTGTCCAGCCTGGCCTTGAACACTGCCAGGGATGGGGCATTTACCACTTCTTTGGGCAACCCATTCCAGTGCCTCACCACCCTCACTGTAAAGAACTTCTGCCTTAGATCTAACCCAAACTTCCCCTGTTTCAGTTTGAACCCATCACCCCTTGTCCTATCACTACAGTCCCTGATGAAGAGTCCGTCCCCAGCATCCAAACACAGAGCACAGGGAGGAGGCAGCTGCTCCTGCAGTGATTTCCAAAGAGGAAGTATCCTGGTGTTCTGGGGGCCAGGCACAGCCACAGCAGCACGTTCATGAGCAGCCACCGCTGCACTCACCAGCTCGTTCCTCTCCTCCGAGAGCAGCGCGTTCCGGTCCTCCAGCTTCCTGATGATGGCACTCAGCTCCGCGATTTTCAGTTGGAATCGCCGGGCATCCTTTTCATCCAACTGCTGTTCCTAAAACAAAGATCAACTGCAAATAACTGTTCATAAGTGCACACATAAAGCCAATGTTTTTCAAAGCTCAAACTTCATCTTATTGCAAATCGGAACATTCCAAAACATTGCAGGGCAGAGTGTAACCTACGTAACCTAATTGGCCACCGAGAGCTGCAGGATGAGACCCATGGAAAGGTGGGAGTAATGGAACAAAGTATGCAAATGCAGAAGTATGTATATGCAAACACAATGCCACAAATGGTAAATGTGGAAAGAAAAAAGAAAACGTCCAAAATGAGGCAGTGTTTCCAATGCATGCCACTGTTGAACTGAGAGCTTCAGACTCATCACCCACTCTGAGGACCTTTTGTAAGAAAATGGTATTAAAAATGCTGGGGTACAAGCAGGGAAAATCCAGGCAATTCTACCATTGCACAAGCTCTTCATCCATAAAGCTGTGGCCTTATGGGGCTCTAAAGGGTCATTCGTAAAGCCATTTTATTGGAGTGAAAATGCTTCATCAAATCATAGATGAATAGAGATATAGGTAGATGTGTTCTCACTCAGAATCAGAGAAGTTACATCTATTCAGGAATGTGACAGACTTTCCCCTTCTCTAGGGCTTGTTCTGATGTTTGGCAGAACTGCAGTTCAAATTGAAAGAAGCAAATCAGTGTCCACAGTGGTGGTGGCACTTTTGGGAGGTCTTGGGTTCCTCATTCAACAGGTGCAGGAGAGGCTTAGGACAAAGAATAAACCAGGTTGGTTTGCTCCTGTCTATGTCTTTATGCTTCTACTGAGAAAAACTAAGGCTGTCGCAAAAGAAATCTTGATGAGAATCAGCAATGGAGGAAATCTGCACACGTCAGATGTATGAGGTCAGTCAGCTGGGGGGTACATGTGAGCAAAGTAAGGCAGAAGCAGGAAAGTGCTGTAGTTATACTAAACAAGCTATTGTGAAAGGGTGGCTAAAAATTCATGTTTGGATATTGTGTTGTAGAAAAAAACTAGGAGAGGACAGGCTAGTGGCTGTTGAATTCACTTGCTGGTGAGAGCAAGAGCACTTAGCAGCACGGAACCCAGAGCTAATGGCTCTTGTGCACCAATTGCCTTCCCCCAGTTCCCTTTGTCAACTGGCCTTGTACATCTGCTCTCAAACTCCTTGTTAGCAGCTCCAGAAGCTAGCACACATACATCACTTGTTAGAAATGCATTTGCATCATTTGTTAGCAAAGTTGTGTCAAACTGTGGGATTCAGGCAGGTGGCAGCAGTATGGTACAGTGAAGAAGAGAGAACAGAACGATTCACCCTGCTAACAAAACCAAACCAACCAGAAAACACAACGACAGACAAGCAAGAGCTCTCCCATAACAAGGTTTCCTCTTAGATCTTGACCAACGGGTGCCCCGGGGTCTCCCTTCGCAGCTATGGGAAAGCTGTTGCTCGAGGGTGCACTCATCAAGATTGTCACTTTGTGCCATTTTGTCACTGTGTCTGCTCGCTCGTGTAGGTGAAACCACGTGAAAGTGCTTACGGGGCTTCCCGAATGGTCTGAAGCGTCTCCTGCACCACTTGCATAAGGAAGTTCCCGCTTGGGGCTGCTCAGATGCCGATCAGCCTCTTTGATCTGGGAAAGTTGTTCATCTAAAGCCTCCTTTTGGAGCTGCAGTCTCTGAGCATGCCCGGCTTGCACCCCTAACTCTCTCTCCAGCACGTAGACTGCTCTGTCTTTAAACTTAATCTCCTCCATCTACAAGGAGAACAGAACACAATCACACGAGGCAGCGGCTGACAACAACACAGCATCTGACGACCCCGAACGCGGCCAGACAGGAGGTGCCCAGTGCCAACAGCCCTCCACATGGAAAATACAACAGCATCACTTGCAAATAGCGTGTATGAGATGAATCACTTCAACAACTCTGGAATATTGCCCTTCTCCTGGGGCCCACCCAGGATAAAGTCTCTTCTCAGC